TTCTATTTGTAAGGATCACTGACGGTCTTAATCATGATATTGGTACTAATTATTCATGCTAACTCCATTTTGCGCGAATTTTGGAACGTCAACTCGAAATGCAAAAATTTGTCACCACGAGGAATCGAACTAGGGACCCCCTTTTCTGGTATTCAGAGGCCGTTCAGGAAAAATTAACCATGGTTCTGTGGTTCCCGCATGTGCCCCTATATCATGCAAAAGACCGTTTTCAAAAAGCTTGTCACGCCCTGAAAGACCTTCCTGGTTAGTTTCAGGGTCATGTTCTCACGTGGCAGCGCGGCCCTTTCGTGATGCCAAAATCACAAGCAGTCAAAAGACTGGCACCGACAGCTGCATGAATGAGCCGTGGTGCGGCATTTCGGCGGCCACCATTGCCGCCAGATGACGAGCTACGTCCAGTGAAACTATAGGTATCGGCCCGAACGGACTGGTATGCGTGCGTGTGGCGTGAAAATTACCATAATCAATGTGCAGTGCGATCGACCAAAAAAAGCTCTGTGTGTGTCATGGGAACGATGAAATGTGGGTCCCGAGGCGATGAGGCGGACGTCACGACGACACAAAGGCGGCGACGAGACATTACTAATTGCCGCTATATGGTTACGACGAAAGCGATTTCGGGACCATTTCCTATGGCATAGTAGTCAGCTGATTCGTTTAGATTTCGCGGGGCATCTGTTTGCATCCCGCCGCGACTATCGTAATCAACGCAAAAAAAAGCCAGCAATTGCCCTCTTCCAGCCTGGGTGCATTGCCATCTGGGAATTCCGCCAGAGACAACTAATGCACTTTCCAGTGGTAATTTAGGGAAGTTGCATCGCTAGACAAATTAAGGCATAATTTCAAATGGATTTCAGGACAGAAGAAGATCTGATACCGTAACCTTTATGGTGCCCTCCACTTCAGGAATGAGAAGAGCGTCGCATATTTGAAGAGGGGGAGTGACTTTCTTGCCTAGCTCTGCTATATGGCGGTCAAGAAAAAGAAAAGAGAAAGCCATTTTTTCATGGCCGTCGTCACTTGTAGTGTGTGGTCTGCACTCGACACTCTTCTCGTTTCCGAAATAGAGGGTATGGTAATAGCAAGAATTGAACGAATGCCATGATTTTTCGAATTCTGTCCGGTTGGGTTCTTCAATTAGGAGGAGTTACTTTCTTGCCTAGCTTTGCTATAATAATGGCCAGTGACCTGGTGATAGCTGAGTAAGGCCTCACTATTTCCCAAAGATTCCGTGAGTATAAGATAAAGTCGAGTGTATGGCGCAATCCCAATATTGTCCAGATTTGAACAAAAATCAACCCAATTCGCTCAACGATCGCAGACCATAAAACCGAGAGCTATGAGCGTAATGAACTCCGTTTCTATGGAAATCATTGCGATCCTTGATCAAGCTTCAGCCGCGCTCAAATAATAGGTTTTTAAGTAGCCCTCAAGCAGACAGAGAACGTTTGCTCGTAAAAAAGTAGACCTTCGCTCTCCGTTAGCGGACCATTTGCAACGACTGGTCAGTTGCACCAAAAGGAATTTAACCTTCAAAATCCATCGGATCTGCATTTTTGAAATGAGATCGAGTGAATGGCGCATCCCAAAAGGATCGACCAAGGTTGACAAATTCACTCCTTTCCGATATCTCTCCAGCTACCCCACTAATAATCAACATAGCTCCAGTCGGATGTCGAGATTCATAGAAGGCTGAGGGCTATGAAGGTAATGGACCTCGTTATCAAGGAATAACGATCGCTGCCTGGAAGCGAGTGACACCGAAGCCATAATCCTATAGTAACGATATTCCAATAATAATATGCACGAGCTTAAAGTGTTCTGATGGCCCGTGAAAAGAGGGAAATAGGTCTATCAATGGTAAATGGCGGCGCCGCGCATTTGTGTATGTGTGAGAGGCGCCTCGTCTGGACGACGCTGCTGATGGGCCTAACGTCGTCGCTTCTGGGAAAATGTCATCGAGTACGAGGTCGGCATCGTTACGAAAGACAGAGAGAATCGATTACGAGGGAGAAACGAGAAACGATCGGACGGTGAATGACATTTTGTTTGAATTCGAGACGGCAAATGAGGGAAGAAAAGAAAGGAAGAGAAATGGAGGACGAGAGGAAAGGAAGAAATTGAGGGTAAGGAAAAGATCACAAGGAAATTCAACATCTCAATGGCGGTGACATCAAAGGAGACGGACGAGAAGCTAGGAGACTGTGGAAAATCGAAATGGTGGAGAAAAAGAGGTAAAGGGGCCGGCAAGGGATGATGTGAGGATGAAGATGGTAAGTGGAAAGAAATTCAAGAGGGAGAAAAAACGGATAATCACTCTGTAGATCACATGGAGGACTTAAGAAAAGAAGAAGGCGAAGGAGGAGGAATATTAAAAAAAAGGACGAGGAAGGAAGAAAGAATAGAGACCCTATCGAAGGACGAGTTGTAAAAAAGACCTCCCAAGGGTCAGGAGGTGAGAAATAGAATTTTGGAAGAAAAATGACGTTAACACTCAACATGGGACAACTGTTCCTAGGAGCAAACACTTTTGAAATATTTCCGACGATTATCTGTTGAAAATTAATGTCTACGTCGTCGAATGTGCTAAAAATCCCAGTTCTCAGGGGAAAAAGTTGCAAGAAGAACTTCCGAGAAAGAAGAGAAGGTATTTTTCGATTCTAAAACTTTTAGAACATTCCTAGTTTCCATATTGAATTTACCTCATTTGGCATTCTTAAGGATAAAGCTGTTTCCATAAATTACATTAATTTTCACTTTGCTCGTCCTAATATTCATTTTTTCGTCCTCTCCCCCTTCCCTCCCACACCTCAACCCTACCGATGAGCTCCTTTCCACTGAAAAGGAAATTAGGAAAAGGAGTCAACCTTTCTCTATTCCCTTCTCAGTGGTTTCCTTGTTTTGCACGCCTTCTAACAAATTGATTACCGTAATAACTTCGTATACGCTGTTTCGAAATTATTCTATCCATTTACAGCGCCGGCAATAGGTTAGAACAAGAACCATGTAGCCCTCTTCTAGCCGGGCGCTATTTGGGGCTCGGCTGGATTAACGGATTCAACTGAGGAAAAGGTAAAGTTCTGCTCAGGACGTACCATGCCAGATTGAGCATCATTACATCGTGCTTTCAGAAAATCTTCCATCTATACCTTCTTGAAATATTCATTTTTCTCGTCCTCTGCCCTCCCTCTCCCTCAACAGCTTTCAAACCCCTTTTTAAGGCGATGAAGTCTCTTCCATTGAAAAGGAAATTAGGAAAAGGAGTCAACCTTTCTTCGCACACCTCAGAGAATGAAAGTGGATAAAGCATTCGACTTAGATCGATCCCCTCTAGATGGCGCCACCGCAGCTCCAGCTTCCATTTCGGAACACTTTTGGGTTTTCTTTGGGGGGGCCCCCTTTTTGAAAAAAAAAAAAATTGGCATTTGAATGATTTGGCCCGCAGACAAAAAGGCTTGCGGAGGCCAACAATCAACAAGCCGGTGTTTTTGACCCCCCAGATGTATGCGGTAAAAATAAACGAGAGATAGAGGCTTGCTTGGTATGGACTAATCAGCACGGAATTTGAACCACCTGACCTATCGTGTGCTAGGTGGCGCCACTTTTCACTTCACCACTACCACCATCTAATGGAGATGGACAATTCTAATGGAAATAGACATTTATAGAACCAGATAGAATTAAGAACCTAACAAAAGGTCCATAAATGACTTTGCACTTATTGGTGAAGTACAAAATAGGAAATTATGACTAATATCGTTCTGTCACAGGTTATAGTCGCTTTATGTGTATGCTTTGCTTAGTCATTAAAACCTTATCAAAAACTCGTAAAACGCGATTGTCAACTGAGTGAGGTCGACTCGGTCCCAGGAAGGCTGAGGATCATCACTGAAGAAAGGAGGAGGAGAAAAATATAGAAGAGATGTTGAGGAGAACTCACGCTTTGTTGATCCTGTTGTAGATAAGGATTTGGAAAATACGTATAGTTATAAGGGACTTCTTTGCAGAGTGGAATTTCGATCGGCTGGCATTTCCCCTTCGATGTCTGAAATAATATTCAATTCAGGAGCGGACTACCTTAAAATTTAGAAATAATTTTTTGAATTTTTCTCTAATTTAAAAAATTTAGAAATTTTTTTTGATCTTTTCCTTGATTCAAAGGGTTGGAAATATTTTTTTTTGAATTCGTATAACTTCGTATAATGTATGCTATACGAAGTTACTTTCCGACAACATCGTTGGGGCAAGGCAACAGTACCGGACTGTACGTTAAATGCTAAGCTTACGGTCTACCCGGTAAGGTATAGGTACCTTTAAGGCACGTTTGTTCAGAGGAAGTGCCAAAAGGACTTTCTTCAAAGCAAATGAAGACTCTCAGGGATAGCATGCCAATCTACCAGACAAAGACTATGTATGATAAGCGTGAAGGACTAGATACGCAGTAACCTTAGACTAGCTAACTTAGAGCTAGCTCAGTGAGGACCCGAAGCGCTCTTGCTTAACCAGATAAAGAAGGGTTCCCGACCCACGATATCTGATCCTTTGGCTCCCTATGTGGCCTGAAGCAGTTCAACACTCGACTTTTCAGGAATAGCTATGAAGCTCAGTGATGTCAGAAGAGATTCGTGAACACACAAATGAGGCAGAGATTCAAATATTCCGTCAAAAACGATGAATAAAATAATAATTTTTGAAATCGCCAATCAATAATCGAACTGACTTGATCGAATATCGATGCGGCTTGCAGTTGGCTGAAGATGACGGCAAGAAGGCCGATCTGCACAGCAGGACCCCACCACATCAGTGCTGTACTTCTCGCTGACCAGATAGAAAGCCGTGAGTGCTGTGGCAGTGGTGGACGAGCAGGGGGTGAATTCGCGCGCGCGGCGCGAATGCGCGGAACGGCCCCCGGTTTTTTCCCCCCCCCCCCCCCCCCCCCCCCCCCCCCCCCCCCCCCCCCCCCCCCCCCCCCCCCCCCCCCCCCCAAAAAAAAAAAAAAAAAATGCACCGAAGACCACGCCCCATCTCGTGCTGCGGCGCTCGTCCAACGCTTCAAAATTTATTACCTACGGTTTGGCGACGATCGCCATCCAAGCGGCTATGGATTGCCAGCACGAGCGCTGTGACCGCTGGTAAGAAGCCGCCTCAGTTGGCACCAGGTTCAACTGTTCTGACCTTTAGGGGTCAACTGGTAGGGTAACTTGTGCTGGAGTGGAGGATAGGAGCTTCTGTGAGGCAAATCCTTAAAAACTGTTCTGGATTAAATGGTTCTGATCTAAAACTGTTTTCGGCCAGGGTTTTCATTTACCGGGCATCGAACGATTACTCGAGGGGTTCTTGGAATTTTTTGTTCGCTCTGTAGACCATCAGTTATCCCTTAAGCCCCTGAATCTCAGTCTCCCACTTGAAAAATCTCATTATCGATGCTGACGAAACCTGGAGCTGATTGAAGTGGTACAATCTTGCGGCCAGAAGCTCTCTGTTTCGCTGTCAGAGATAGGCGGTCCTGCGAGCAAAGGACTCTTTCTCTTAGAAAGCTGTGGAAGACAACTGGCATGATGACTGTTTTGGGAATATCTCTTTGGGCATTCCAAAGAAAAAAAGGGTCCGGGTCCGGATCTGGGTTATCATCTGGGTTGCCCAGAAATTCTACACAGAAGAGACACAATCCCTTGCCCTTGAGTTAGTTCTCCTTGTTAGTTGATTTCACTTTGAGATAAGCGCCTAAGCTCGTGGTCAGCACAACTTCTAATTCGATTAAATTTGTTAGTACTTGGTCATTTCTGTACCTATTCCGAAAACTCACTCTAGCATAATCGAAGTGAGCGGGCGGTTTTTCACCGTCACCGCAAATTTTCTTTGACGCGTGTTGTTTCGCTTTTCTTTGCTATGGCTGGAGGATAGGAAATCTGCACGCTCCCTCAAGTCTCTCCACCCCCCGTCCAAGTCTTACCGTTGATCCCGTTCAAGAAAGGAGGTGTTTTACGCAGTTTAAAATGCACTACAGTCACAATGCCCCCGTATTTTGCGATAGGGCCACATATTGTTCGATCTCTTCCCTAGCATGGTAATCAAATTGAGGAATAAATAAATTTTCAAAGAATTTTGAATGGTATACGTTAAGAGTCCTAATTCGTCTATCAAACCGGGCTATTTTCCTAACTCGACAAAATGAACGGCTTTTCGTCTGCTGACTTTCTGCGTTCTCTAACAACACATCATAGCCTCGTCGCCTTCAATGTCAGTCCTCCTCGTCGACGTCGTTCGTGCCTCGTCTCAGATTTACGAGGCCGACGCCGCGTTGCGTTGCGCTCGACGCTTTATTGCCTTGGCGTTTTGCCAACAACACCTCCTTACTCACATCGAATGCGAAAAATCAATGGAAAAGGATTTATGATGGCATACGGACATACTGGGTCATTTCGCTGTTGTCAATGTTACCGCTATTGCTGCTATAGATATACTACGGGAATGTCCGACGATATGTGGCGACGACGGTTGTCGACAGTGCATCGGCGGCGATTACGGTAACGATCAAGATGCTATTTCACACCAAAGCGTGAAGAAAGCAAGTTGGACTGGTTTATCGTAATGAGACCTGTTCTGCATTCGAATACTTTGAAGGGATGCGTATTCTCGAGCCATGTCATTAGCTGAGAAAAAACTCACTTGTCATTGTTACTCACCTTTTGAAAACCCTATTCAGTGAATGGAATTCTATATACACTGAAATCTTTGAATTATTTGTGAGAATAATAATGATTTGCCTCTTCCAAGAAAATAGAACCCGAAAAGCTCGTCACAGCTCGTCCTTTTAACGATGGTTCCTCAGGATTGCGCCACCACAAAATAGGTTCACAGT